AATCTCATGACGTACAAGTCTACGATTATGGTCAAACTCACGGTCACCCTAAATAGACTGACGGGCTTAAGTGAGTTGTAAGAAGCCTACAGAAACCCAGTGTTCATAAACTGGACGTTTCGCGAAGCCGCAAGCGACATTACTCTCCATTTTTATGACATGTAATTTGAACCAATGCTCATTTATACTTTTCAGCGGGCTGGAAGCTACCCTTTAACCTAGCTCGGTTTGATATTTAGTCGCAACAGAAACTGAAATCGATGTTGCGATTTTCTAAATACATCGCCAACCCTATCTGTTGTCCTATCCACATTAGTGTGCGAGTCTCGAAGGAGACCAGTTTGAATGGTGTATGTGGTTTCACAAAGACTTTCAGTGTTCGTATTCGGTGGTAGCATTCAACTTTCGACCAGTCGGTGATTTGAGATCATTTAGATAGGAGAGGGTTTTCAACATAGGTGAGCTGCTGTATAAGTTGGAAAATAAAATGCGCGAAATGAGAATAAGGGGTAGTATATAAATGACGCGGTATAAAAGGAATAAAGACGAATGTTATGTGGTTGTGAATATGATTTGTCCGAATGCGCGTTGAAGCAAGAGTAGTTTTTCTAGTAGTAATTATTATTGGTTTGTATGGGGGCTTTGATACCGCCCGGTTGCTCCTGGATGGATCAACCCAGTTAGAGCACCGGACATTCACTTTCCGTCCTTTTAATTTCGTAAACAACACCCCCACTTTGAGAAGGTAGTGGGTCGGACTTCCCTAACAGTGGCTGTATACGCGTGACCGTGTGAGAGTAGTTTGTGAAGGAGAGCAGACTCTTCACCCTCGACCATACCAGGGCATTTAGGGGCAAAATTGTGGAGTCTGCTGACCCGTAGTCAAGAGCGTTATCCATTGTGCCACAGAAGTGCTTGAAGATAAACAGTTAATCAACTATCCTTGGGTAGTTTGAAATGACATCTAATGTTTTACAAGTTGAATATTTTATTTTGCTTTAATTCAGCTCGTACACTTGAGATATTAGTGTCCTAGGTTTCTTAACTGTTACAGTGGGATATTGTAGTCGTTATCTGGAATGTGTGTTTCTCTAAACGTCCTTGTTTCTTGTTAGTGAACAGCATTTTGTTGGGTCCTCTATTTTTTTACGGCAGAGTGCGATATGCAACAGATAACTCATACCTTGCCTAACTACCAGTCTAGTCAAACAGGAAATCTGCTGTCTAATGTTAGTTAAACATTCAAAGTGCAGGTCCTTGCACTAAGCTCTGAGGCACACTTGTATGGGGTTTAACAGTATTGCTAAGCTACCAAAAACGAAATTGTTGGGAAGAATACTGGATATAATAGTTAGAAATTGGACACACTTCTACCTAGTTTAATGTAATTAGCACTGAGTCTTGATGGCTATACTCCTTAATTTTTATCGTAGCGGCATCATGTTTTAGGTTGACCAGGTATTGACATTCTTCATTAACCATTCACAGCATCACTTGGTTTTCTTTTCCAATATGTGATGGCAGTCTCGTTCGAATACCTGTCTTCGTGAACGATTGAGTTTCAAGAGCAAATAGTAAACATTGAAGCTGGTCATAATGCAAAGCATGTAATTTGAATCGTTTGGACTGAAAATGAGCTCTCTCGGTTTATGCAAGGTAAACATCGGTTTTCATTAATTGGAGATAGTTATACTGGTTATAGAATCAGGATATTTGTTTACATAATATCTTATTTAAGATCCCGATAGTTTCACCATAACTCATATATTCACGAGTATATTTTGGTAAGATATAATTTCCGTACTTTTGATGCTCATGGGATCCAGTTTTGTAATAACAATCGAACCTTCTCTTCAACAGTAGCAGCATACTCTACTCGGAAAATATCTATTCAGCCAAACCGTAATTTGAATGTGATCATTGTGCATCAAAATCAAATTCCTGGATCGTACGAAGCGATGATTCTATATCTTTCTGCTCTGGCACAATTGTGGACTAAAGATGAAATTTTGCCGTTAATTTTGCAATTCACCGTTCTTGAAGAGCCTGTGTTTGTACTCCTGAGACAGTGGTAACTCTATTTGACCAAATAAAACAGTCATCTTTTATCATCTCCATTTGAGTCTCCATCACCAAATTGTTATGACCTTCAACCCTTCTTTAACGAAGGAAGATTAGTTTGCTGTTTTTGTATTTTGATTAGATGTCGAGGACAGAAGCGACGGCATGGACCTAATTATCAAAACTCATCACGGCTTTAGTCAGTGTAACTGATTACCGTTCGGCTCAAAACCAACTGTGATTAGTGGATACAGTGTTGTAGTATTGTGAAGGGTTCGGTAGCTTGTCTGGATAACACTAATTGTTGGCCCCACTCCAAATTAATGGATGATTCGTTTAGATGTTGTGCTCACATAATGTTTCATTCTGGTTTTAACCTACAGGAATATAAATTAGGATTTTCCCGTGAGTCTTTTAAGTGTCTTGAATCTATTTTTTTACAAAAGAGGTCATCCAGCAGGTCTGTATAATACAGATGCTATTAAACAGATATCAGTACCTACACTACGGTCATTTCTTCGGATGACTGGATCTTGCAGTGTTTCTGTAAATTCTGTGAATAAATTGCATCATCTATTGAATCAATATTTGACCACCAATTCAACATGGAATCAATCTAAACAGTCAGAATCTCTTAGATGAATTAAGAAAAATTTCATCTGAACATTCTCCATTAACTCATTTTAGTCCAAAGTTTGAAATAATGGTGCACATTGATACCCATGATTATTAGTGCGGTGATCAGTCATCGTTTTTTATATGAGTTCTATTTTTTCCGAAGTTTCCGTCGCCACTGATATGTCTTGTCGATTGGACGCTACTTGTTATATCTGGTCGTCTTTGATTTTTATATTGGAATCGCCTATCACTAATACTTGTAAAACCGAGGAAACACTGCAATTCCCACGACGCGAAAGTAAAAACACAAAGACTGGTTATAAGTGAAGGTTTATTAACCCCCAAAACACGACTGCCCTAGGCGAAAATACACTCATTTATATATTAATTCATATACCCATTTTTGATTAATAATTAGAATAAAATCACATATATAAATAATACCCAGAGTTATAACAAATCATATGCTGAGAATAGTTCATGTGCATTAGAATACAAGAACATTGTATATTATACAGAATAAAATGTAATATGGGAAAATAGAAACAAATACTATACTGAATAATCGTTACATTGAATTAAAACGGAATTAATGTTGAATAAAAATCATAATGAGTAAATCAATCTTATTCTGATTTTTCTTCCCATCATATCAGTTTTCCCAATGGTAAAGAAAGCTAAATATCATTAAGTATACCAAAACTCCTTACCACTTGCAATTAAATGATCTTGTTGAGAGATTCGTAGATGTATTTAAAGGAGCACTTGTCAAAGTAGTCCTAGAATGATCTATGGGTGGAAGCATATATATATATATATATATATATATATATATATATATATATATATCGCTTTATTCGTTTGCACTACTTACATTTTTTTCAGTAGCTACAAATTCATAATATTTATTTTAATTATGAACTGTTCTCCATTTTAAAGTACTTGACTGGCTAGACTAACAGTTGAATGGGACGAAATAATATAGTGATAAATTTCGTGGTGAAATGATGTTAGTTTGAGGGCTGCCGAAAATTTAACATCATTGGTTGTTTATGTACCTCAAAACTCCCTCCCATACGGATTTGAACACAGAGTTGCATCATTTAACCAGTGATCCAAATTTTCATGAAGGTCTTGAGCTATATTTTTATAAATTTTAGAACCATACTACCGGGGATTTTCCAAGATGATTGAAAAATTTCTTTAAATCTCATTGCTCTCTAGTAGTTCTTTAGATTATATCGGTTTACTATAAAAAATATCACCTGCTTTTGCAAGATTAATCTCCTCTTGGTAACCAAAATGGGTATGGTGATATAACACTTAAACTGTTTATATATTATCACCCCATCAATCGATTGAAAACCGCTTTGTGTTTGATTTTTTCGAATTTGTCCTTCATTACCCTGGTAGTCATCTATGAGGTATTTATTGCGGTTTATGGTAACGAGAGAAACAAATTGAACATTAACACATTTACCGTACTGTGCTTTAGTTAACTCATCGTGGATTTTAATATGATAATTGAAACTAGATTTTCAGCTGGCTGATATTGTATACGAATTTGAAATGGTATTAATCCTAATAAGCCTAGAACCTCGACAAAATACAATAAATAACTCGAATTCGAAGTACGCAGTGTGAAATTGTATTGTATAATTATGATAGGTTTAAACACAAAATAAAATATTTAGCTGTACAGTAAATGTATTAGTTATTCACCACAGTGTATTGTTGTAAATCTAAGAAAAATTCGTTAGATATACTTTTACAGTTACACATGATTGTAACGACAATACGGTATTTTGTTCATAGGCTTAGATTTGAAATGAAATAATTTGCCGATTTGTTCAAGCTCATTGATTTGGTTTATAATGTTTTCCACTTAAGCAATTTATTCTAGGCTCCTTCTAAGTTCCAGTTTGGACTTATTCCCATCATAATTGTAGGTATCGAGCTCGTTTCTGAGAGGCCTGGTATGTGATTTTTACACGTTAGTATCAATTTACGATAACGCAGATACTTAGTTCTAACTTTCATGAAGAACATATCCTAACTATATAACTTAAAGAAGCTATCTAATATATAATAAACCTCATTAATTGTAATAGACACTCATACATTATAAACGTAAATTTTAAGAGAACAATTAAAATGATACTGGTTATTTGCATAACTGTAACTATTATTCTCCCCAGATAACTTTCATAATTTATTCATACGTTCATTTAAAAAATACAAAAATGGCTACTTTTAAGTATTTAGTCTTATATTAGTTTTTAGTATTGTAAAGGTGAGCAAATGAAGCTAACGTCCTCTTTTCATAACATGGATTGAACAAACTTCAAAAATTCTTCATAATCCAATTTTTGGTCTCCGTTTTTATCATTCTGTCTTATCCACTTGGTACAGAGATCCATGGAAACGACATTTTTCTGTTTTTTCAAAAAATCCCTCAACTCATAGGCATCGAGTTTACCGGATTTATTTTTATCGGCACTTCTAAATGCTGAACGCATTTCTGCATCACTGGAATAAAAACAAACATAAAACCACTCTAAAAAAAACATATTTACAGTGTTGATAAATAAAATTCGTTAATACATTAGTTGTACACGAGTATACTGTTTGAAAACTGACGTTTTTTCTCTTTTTAGAACAAATTCTAAACATGACTGATAATCTTTGAAATCCATTCATGTTTTGCTAGATTTTATTAGCGCTAAATCTAACACAGTTATTCATCGACTTTTAGGATGCTCTCTCACAATACATAAAAGCTATTGGAGTCAAAAATCACTTCTTAATGAAGGCATGAGACTGTTGTCAATACTAAACTGTAGTATCTTGTTAATAATAAAAATAATGTATTTCTAAAGTCCTGATGAGTAGAAAATTAATTTTCTGACGTTTCGTGTAAACCACTTCTTCAAATAATCAAAGAAAATAATTAAATTACATAAACGGGGTTTAAATAGTATAAAGGACTCAAAGCAGAATATTTTTGGCGAATTGTACCACGTCATATTTTTATGGATTACCAAAAATTCATAAACCTCATATCCTGTTTAGATCCATAGTGGATTTCACAAACATTCCAGCATATACCCTGTCTCAATACACAAGCGGTATACTGAAACGAATTCAAAATAGCCTACATAATACCACCACATGGCGCAAACCGAAATACACAACTTGATAAATTGAATTCGATTCATCACATCCACTCAAATCAAAAATCTCTTTGACTCTGAACGTTTTAAACGGGCGTTAAAGATTACGTCAAGTAAAGAGCAACAAAAGGAACACAAAAATGTTATCAACATCTTATAGTTTAATAATTTTCCTATAAATATTAGTCACAATATACTAAAACGAAATGTTCTTTAGTTGAATAGTAATAAATTGAATGAATTTTCATGAGATGGTACCTTGATTATATCATACCGTCATGGCACAAGAGAAAAACTATAAATGAATCGTCAGATTACACAGAATTAAACCGTTCTATAAAATAAAGAACACGTCGAGCTGCTTGAATTTGAATGAAAGATGAAATCCCGATTACTTCGATGCAGAAATGTATCTACAGACAAGGATGTATAGATTAAGATGCATCCTATATTAGTAAGTCTTCTCGTAAAATCATGACTCCAGTAAAACAACATTTATGTCACACAAAAAGACCTCCAAATAATCCTGTAGATCTAGGCAATATACAAATCAAATCAGCAATAACAGTAAATATTATTTTTAGCAAACACCAGATTGATATTAATAATTCCCAAAGGATTTTACAATTGTAAACAAAGGTGAATGTCTGAAGCCCTTTATATTTTAGTAAACCCTATTGAGCTTATCAGAAAGAAAGGCCTAATGATCCATCCAATATGGATCATTTATCCAAGCAGTTAATCCCGTTCACATTACAAACGCCTAATAAACGTACAAACGTTCCTAACCTTACTCTCCTACATCAAATAGATCACATTTTTCACACACACATAACTATATCTGATACAATGAAATAACCTTGACCGAAATGACATAAGATAAGCGTGATCAGACCTATTTTAATTGTGGTTTAACTAAATATATTCTACTGTGTCCTTTGCACTATTTAAACTGTTAACTCAATTAGTTTATTTATCTTACATGAAACGTTAGAAATTTAATTTCCTACTCATTGAGACCATACATATATATTATATCATTAACAAGACACCAAATTCTCAATTTCCTTGAAGTTATCAAGTCGAACTTTGATAATGACACAGCATATTGTGTTTTCATATCCACTTTGAGATTCAGAACCATCAGTTATCCACCCCTAAGTCTCCCAACCTCTCAGATCATCTGTTGCAATTTCGCTAAGGCTATATTCCAAGATATAGAAGTATTTTTGCGTCAGTAAATAATGAAGTACTGTTTATTTAGAAAGAAATTTCTTGATCACTGTCTAACAGATCGAAATCAACCCTGAAATTTTAGCCATAAGAAAACCTGAGAAATAGGTGGCAAGATGGGAACATTCTATTATTACTTTAGATTAAGTCGTATAGCATTTCATAGCATCTTCGGATTACACTACGAACATATTGATGATAAAGGTACAAAGGAAAACGGTAAGTATCATAACTCACGTTATTTTCCCAATTTTCATTTGTTTCGCGGCTTCAAGGAATTCTGTTTTTGTTATTTTGTCATCACTGTTTACATCGAAGTGTACCATGAACTCCTTAAATGAGCATAAGGTATTCATTATATAGTTAGAGGAAATTTTGCTCACGTAATGTAAATTCATTCATTGACTAACATTATATAAACAGCGAATAAAACCTGAAAGACTCTAAAATACGATTTAATGCTTTACCACTACCTTCTGTTTTCAGATTGTTCTCCATCTGCTGTTGGATAGTGATGAACCCCAATCTTACTAATAAAGAGCCAACAGAATAACACATACATACCTAAATGTATTTGGTGTTCAAACATGTTGAAATACAAAACCTGAAGGATTTTACAAGTTTCTATAAAATGTAAAGATATCTCTAATTGAAGTTTATTTTAGACGTCTGTTTTTAAATAACGAGGTTAAGAAAGACATGTTTCTGTCCAAAATTTTGATAAGTAATATTTCTCGCTGATCATTATTAGTGTAACACTTGCAAGGATATTTGGAAGTCTTAGTGTTTCTAAAATGATATAATATGGTTAGCTGTCGTTGTGGATCATTATCCTCCAAAGAATAAACTAAAATTTATTTGTATTGATTGTTTGAATCTTCTCATAAATGTTTAGGACTGAAATTGGTTAGTCCCTTTTGACACATTTTCATCAACAGAGTTTAGTCACATTAAATTCAAAACGCGTTAGAGAATTTTTGCTTTTGTTGTACAGTAGTGTCGGTACAGAAATATCCGTTACTTAAAATAATGATTTGGCAAAATGTGGTTGTTTACGTAAATACTTCGTAGTTCAAGTATTCAGTTTTTTGGTAAGGATAGTCCAGTAAAAGGTTGTTCATCACAGGAAAATCACTTGAACAAGTTATAAGTTAATCTTGATTTTTAAAAAAGTATTATCAGAATCAATTCAGAGGACTACATTCTCTCCTTTACTTATGTCTCATATTCTCATTGTTTTATTCATGAACGCTCATCATATCAGTTTATTTTTGTACACCTCTATGACCTTTAATTATTATAACAAAAACATTTTAATCATTTTAATCATCTTATTATATTCACCAAATCCATTGTTATTGTTATTATTCATATTACGTAATCTAGTATTATAACCTTTTTTATTAACTGTGTTCACATTTCCTTATGGAATTAGTACTTTTACAAAAAAAAAAAAATTTTTCATATATATACGATTGTACAGCTTGATAATAAATTCGTTGAAAAGAGATCCCTTCGCTGAACTTCATGTTGTAAATTTAAAATCGTTTGTCCTTTTTATAAATTGAGATATATTTACAGCTCGGCCCTAACTTCAATCAACAATGAAAATTACTAAAATGTGTTACCTAGAGTCATCCACTTGGTTAATTCTACTTTGTGTTATATCATGAAGAAGAATAAATGAATGGTAACTGCTAGGAAGTATTTATGGACCATTGTTACGTATATTGTTATTGTATAACTGTTAGGTAACCAGATTATATATATATATTCCTTTTATCATAAGCTTTTATTTGACCTATTGACTATTATTATACGATTTACTATTCTTAGGTTATACTCAGTTTATTAATTATAGTCTCTTACAGTCACAGCCACTTTTTGGCTCGGTCCTGTATAATTGTTATTTTTTATTTTATGGTATGATGTGGTATGGTTTGTTTGTATATAAACCAAGTATATCTGAAGTATATGATTCATACAGTAGGAGTTGTGTTCTTAACTCGACAGGCAGGGCTAGACGGGAAGGACCAATAAGTACTCTAGACTGCTCGTACCGGTCAACATATCATTGGTTTCGTATAGTGCTAAGATTGTATAAGTCGTGTTCTGATTGACGAATAAATCATGTGATATAATTAACAGGGCAAAAGTCACAACACTTTTCAGTAAGATTTCCACCAATTAAATGATTTTTGTGATTTTATACACTGTCATTCACATGATTATCAGTCAATAAAATAACCTATTAAACTTGATCAGTGACTTAGGATTGTTGATATATATTAGTGAAATAATATGCTGTGATTTCGATTTATGTTTGCTGTATGTCGGATGTAATGAACTTTTAGCTGATACACGGAAGTTATTGAAAAGCTTATATATATAAAGATGTGGTAATGTGTGTGTCCATAATCAAGTTTCTTCTCTGATGTCTTGTCGATGACTAATCAGCTTCGGCTGTTACTTGTTTCAAATGGTAATGAATGTCATTCTTATTGTCCTTATAAGTGTAAAAATGATTTTATTACATTGTTCTTAGAAAGACTGACTTTTTTCCCTCATTAGTTAAATGTGTTTATACTTGAATATTAGGTAGCTGTCCACCATTTAGGATTTAGGTTATAAGTTATCTCTTAAGAAGTCTGCCATTTAGCTAAAGTACCGAATAATTGACCCAAAATTAAAAAGTGCTGGTCATTCGTAGACCGATAGCAAATCACTAAATCCAGCATTCAATCTCCTACTTTTATTCTAAAAAATGTCACTTATTTCATGTCAAATGATTTTTCTGTGTTCGGTAGTGAAAATTTCCTTTTAAATGCTCAGCACGTGATTGCATTTCAATTTTCCCATTCACATACCACAACTAACAAATAAAAAAGATGGAACTACAAGACTGTTCGAATAGCACAGAAAAGAAATTCAACACCTACCTGAGTATAACGTGGATCGAATCCAAACGAGGTAAGACAGTTCTGAACTTCTTTTTTATTTAACCAACCATTTTTATTTCTGTCAAGTAAGTCGAAATCTCTTTCAAGTATGGATAAATAATTGGTTTTCTTCTATGCAAAAAAGTACAATATAACCATTCACTAATTAAACATCAGTCAATGCTTTTAAATAAGACGCAAATCTACTTCTATGGCTAATCTTGTTTTATTAGTAAATAGATTTCCTCTAGGAATACAGACCATTCATATGTTGCTGTATGTACCCTTCAGTAAAATGAGGTTCAATTACATAAGGGGTTCATGTGAAAGTCAACACAAACGCCCTGTAGTACATTATTTCGTAGGTCTATAGTTCAGTGTTAAAGTTATAAATAAAATAAAAAAGTGGAGGCCAAATATTATTTCACACCATAATGCATAAATGGAAAATTCTTCAAGGGGTTTATGACAATGATCTGTTAATGATATTTCCTCCTAATAATGTCACTAATTCTGATGGATTAAAAAAATTGTTTTGTTTAGAAACTAACAGTTCCAACTTTAAGCAACCGGATATTTACTAAACAAATGAACAAGAAAAATGTCACTGACTAGTTTATCCACAAATAACAAAACATCTAGGATACTTAAAACTGTAGAATTATTTAAATATCTTAAAAGATATTTAAAAAATGGCGTTTCAAATATGGTTTCAAGATGAGGATATAGTTCATTACTAACACTACCTAAAATTCATTTTGCAGAATACATTCGATCGATTGACTAATAGTGGAAATGATACAGATCCGTATTATATAATAACTGCGTTTTATGAAACAGGATATAAAGAATTTATAGTTACTGCTAACATCTGTACTATTCCAAGTATAAATTACCCATGAAATGATCTACAGTTTTGATATTAGTCTTGTAAACTAGTACTATCGAGATTTATATAGGTAAGCGAGGGGAAACTACTCTCTTGCTGACTGATACTGTTGTAAAAATCTAACCGTATATGTGATGGAGCTTACCTTTTACTAGTAGAGAAATAGAACCCTACATTCTGGAACCCCTTCCCATGGGCTCAACAGCTTAAAAAAACAGAAAAATACTGTATATGAAGATTTGTTTTCATTCGTCAACTAGATTGAGATACTCTAAATTTCATAGGTTTTATTTACATTGATTAATGGCCATTTTCTAAACAAACTTTAAGTGGTCGAAACTCACAGATGGTTGATCAATAACTCACTGTGTAAACACAATTCACAAATTTAAAATGCCACGATCAACAATTATAGTTGATTTACCTCTCCTTGCTAGCCTTATTCTTTCTTTAGTTGGATACTTATAGATCGGTTCTTCGTTGAATGCCTACTTGAAGAGCCGTTGCTCTTCTATGTAACAAATTAGTTATAGTTTGCAAATCTTTTTTCACTTAGATTTTCCTTGAATGGGCAATGTTCGTAAAAAACACTATTTATCGGTCGTCTGAATGACCGTATCCCACTTGTATAATTTGTTTAAGACTTCTTAGCTATGGTATATAACACAGAAGAAGTTTAATTGCTATTGATAAAGCTCATGAAAGTGAATCTCATGTTGACACTGTGTTTTAATTGTACAAGAAAATAATGTGGTCTTATGAAAATCACAACCTCTCAACGAGTATACCGGATAAGTAGATAAGAAAGTTCTTCATGAATAAACAATTCAACCAAACCCTGATACAAACTATCTCTAACAGAGTCATTCCAGTTCTAAAAAAACGTGTTGCAAATTTATTTCGATTGTAGTATAAAATTATATTTTGCTAATTTAAAAGTAACTTACCGAGTTCATACTTTGATAAATTAAGTAGGTTTTATTAATCACGAATATAAATGTCTAACTTTTTTGACTCATAGCATATCAGATATGATTTCCACGCTTCAGTTTTTCAAGGTTGTTTATTTACGTATCTAATCATAATCACTATCATTCCTCTGATCAAATGTTTTCTCACAATTGTTTAGTTATTCATTCAATTGGTTTAACAGAACAATCAGTAAATAATAAAATCTACGTGATAATATTAGTAAATTGAAAATGTTCATCTGACTATTAACTGTTTAAACTAATAATCTACAGAATCTGGTCACATGATTTAGTCACTACATCAATTTGAGTGCACACTGATACTCTGTATCTTTTATTGATCAATAAATACTGAAATATAGTTGTACCCTCTTCATTGAATTTAATGCCTGTGTTCTTGAAAAAAAAAGACCAATTAAGTATATATTTTTGCTTTCATATTGTTTTCTCAGTCTTTATGATAGGTTTGAGGCTAAACAGAGATTCATACAAGACACAAGCAGCGTTTCCAATCGTTACCGTTTTGAAATTGGGCATTGGCATGTATAAAGATATTTAAAATCTATCTCATATCATGAACTATGGAAATGAATCACCATGTAAACAGTGATGACTGTTTTCATAATAACACATGCGAATATTCAAATTTACTATCACACTACTACTACTACTACTACTACTACTACTACTACATTTTCATCCTTATGTATTTAATATTATTTTTCATCATATAGTTTCAAATCTCCTTTTCATTCTGACGAGGTGTACATTAATCTGAAAAAAAGCACTTATTAAGCGGTTCTTTGTGGTATACGACATCTGTATAGACCAATTCATAATGAATAGATGAAACACCAATATTCGGGATAGTTTTCAGTTTTAATTTCTGAATGAGATCCATGTACTGTTCTTGTTAGTACTCCAGTAGCTTGATTTAATTTTTAGCAAAATTTCTGAATGGTGTAAATTTACTTGATGTTGTTTGCTTGTACTGAATGGTACATTCGTCCAACACCATTTTCTATACCACTGTATACCATATGTATATATAGTATAGAATAGTTTCTTCACTTTATTAATCCTGAAGAATTTAAGTGAAGAAACGCTAAAGGTTACTTACAAATATAAAATTCTTGGATGACATTAACAGACAAGTATTTTGAAGAATTAATTTCTGAAACAGTTTCTTTGGTTTAAGCTACCTTTCTCCTCAATAATTTTACTTAGGATTTCTGAAAAATGCCTTATTATTCTAGATAATACTGTGACTTAATTCTGTAAAGGTTAAGAAAAAGAACTAGACGGTAAGTACTATATAAAATATATAGTAGCAATTCATTTTCATTTATTGAACAATATGTCCATAAATATATGTGGTGGTGATTCTCGCTTCTATGAGTAAACGTCTAAGCGAGTAAGCACGATAAAAAAGTAGAAAACGTAATATTTTAGTTAAAGGGGTACTGTGGAGATTGCTTTGATTTTTAGATTTTATTCGTCACAGATTAATCTCAATTGGGGTAACAGTGAAAACCGTGGAGCAGTGGCTTTGGTAATAAAAAAATCTACAAATATGTCATTTGTTAACCAATGTTGATTGACTTCCAAGGGAATGCTTTAAATAACTATAATGCTCTTCACACAGAAAATTAGTAAGCTTGTATTTTTTTGAAAATATTATGGCGTCTAACTTTTGTTAGTGAATCACGTCTAAGCCTTGATAAGTCAATAAATTTACTCTGCACAGAAAACGCTACCAAACGTCAGAAGATTGTCATTTTCATTTATAAAACAGAAGAATTAACAAAAACTCGACGATGTATATTACACAATGAACCATGTGATTGGATGGGATTTTATCTATAAATTTCTCTTCTAATGTAATCTACGGTGAGATAGATTGAAATCTGCTTTCATTTGGAGACATATTAATAAAAAAATATCTAGCTATATTTGGAGTTCTGTTGACTTAGAACTATCCTTCATAATGAATCATTTTGACCATTAGATCCATAAAATTCTCGAGTTATTAAGCACTTGTGTGTATTTCACTCTGAAGAGAGAGAACAGAATTTAAGAATTAAAGTATTTTGATTCTAGTACATTTTTAAAAATTAGAATACTTGGTAGCACATCGACAAACTAAAATGTGAAATTAAAACTATAATTTAAATACAAATAAACTTTCAAGACTGGATAACTGAATTACTTTTCAATTAACCAACGATCACTCAAGGTTTAAAATAAAATTTATATGATATTCGGTGATTAGTTATTTCCGTCTATCATAACGATTTCACCCGTTAGCACTCATGTAGTCACTGAGGTATTTAAAAATAGTTCCATTTTTAATGAACTTAGCAGTGATGAAATGAGTTATTTATTAATGTTGGCAGTTTGTATCTACTTTTTATTCCGTACACCCTTTTTGTTGTTAGGATAGGGTTGATAAAAAGTGTGAGGATCAATTTTACGACGACAGTCTAGTAGCCAGTAAAAGGTAAATGAAATTATGAAGTGAATACTTAGTAGACACAATTCACACTTAATACTTAACTGTTAAAATAAATGATAACAGATATGGATGCAAGGCAATACGAAAGTTTTAACTGATACTAATAATACGAAAGTAGCAATAAAAGACAAATTGTTTTAAAAGTGATGATCGCTATTAGAAAATGGAACATACAATAATGTAGAACAAATTGATTTTGTTGGGAAAAATATAAGCAGAATTCTAATGTCCATTATTATTTTTGACTAACACTTTTGTTCGATTATCGAGGGAATTACATCAAATCACTTTTAAGTATTATTTCTTTTGAAAAAAATGTTTTTGGTAAGTCAATGGAGTTCCAAACCAGTTCTAACATGTTATGTGATTTCTATCATTGAAATTATTTTTCAGTTTACTAGTTTGTTAGGGATTGGCATTATGTTCAAATTTTTGCACTGCTCAAGATTATTGGATGAACTTTCAATAATATAAACTGTCAAGGTTATTCTGACTTCACTAATCTCTAAGCGAGTTTTTATGAATAAAATTCAATGTTATTTAATGGCGTTAATTTCAACTGAATATTGATAAATATTTCATTTAACTACGATGTGTTAAAGCCAATTACTCAGTCTCAACTCAAATTTCAATTGAACGATTGCCTACAAATGAAATTCAGTCACAATAACTGAAAAATAAACCACATTATTTTGGGATATTTTTATATCACCTATTAATTGCAAAGGAATAACTCTTTTTTGATAGCTGATGCAACAACATTTTCTAACTAAGTGAAGTGAATAACTGGTATTAAATTAAGGTCAGAAAGTGTTTTACAAAAATAAAGTCTCATCTTCAAATCACTTTGGGTCCCGTTCGTCTGCTCAAACTAGCAGAATAGACAAGTCAGAACTAGAAAAATCTGACACAGAAGGGGAAACATATAAAACAGAATTGTAATAATACTTACAAAGAAATTGTTTACCACCACCTTTCATATATTCGCATTGAAGTTGATGACTGTGCTGTATTAAAACTGTCCGCCTCTCTTCCCTTGAAACAAACACTTTAGATCACAGAGAATCTCCGTCAAAAAACCCATGTTTAACCAGTAATATGGTTCATGCTAACATCCTTGAAAACACTAAAATCATTTTTCAACAGTGAGTAGTACAACAGAACTTGGCAGTTACAGTGTTATGTTTTCTATTGCAGTCACAATGACCACCAGGAATTATGTTACTGAGATTTTTTTCTCACGACCAATGCTTTATAGAAACACTCACCCCCTTAAACCCCTAACAGAGTAATATCGAATAAGTGATATCACGTGCGTTTTACTTTTCATATCCAAAACTCACATGAATACCAATATAAGATACAAAATCACAGCACACCACTATAAATAGATCATGACCGATATTTAGTTGATGTCATATTGCTACAATACTGAATAAACCATATCTGTTGTTTTCGGAATACATAATAATCATTAACCAGTCAGATTCTTTAAGAAGTACTTCCTAAAAGCTACCAAAACAATGTATAAATAAATAAATACTCGTTTTTTGGTTTTATATTTCTGCTTTCCCAACAAACACTAGCTATCGGTCCTTTAAATCTTCTCCTAAAGTCGACGTAATATAGTAGGTTCTTCTTTTTGTTCTACAAAGTAGGCTTACATAATGATCAGATAAGTGATAAGAACGGAATTAAATTAGTTATAGCAGCCCTTTCAGGTTCTCTTAGGTAAATGCACATTTTCTCCTTACAATAATGGTCTTCTGTAGTGTTAGCGTTTAGCGGCAGAGACTTGAAGAGTTATAAATTTTATACTTTGATTTTTCCATCAACCTTCATTTTCCAACTTCATCGAAGCTTTTTGACCCAAATTTAAATGAAATTCAATTGTACAACATGCATTTCAGTGGCTGGTTTTAAATTATAAAATTATCAAAAGTGAATAAAAGAGAATTATGTGGGATATATATCCCATTAGATCCTGAAAAATAGCACGTTTAAGGTAAATACAAATGTCATTGAATGATTTTTTGATTCTATTGTAACCATCTTACATATTTTTGAAAAATATAACTAATATGACCGTAGAATATGTTCCTCCGAAGTCCGAATAAATCCTATAACTCCAGAATTTTTATCTGATAATAGATGTCAGTTCACTGTCATAAGTTCGGTCGTACGTGTATACAGTACATCAAGTTGTGTAAGCAGATATCTGACACTACTTATAGCTTGTGTCTATACATATATGCAGCAGTATTGTCTAGATTCATAGTTTCTTTTTTTCACTCATGAAAGTATCACAGAATCAAATAAATAAGACCCCATCCCTTCCACTATCTGTTTAACACGATCATTTTTTGAACATTGAACTAGGATTTTAAAGATATGTAACTTGAAGCCTGATGCGAATTTGTGTAAAAGGCTTCTACTAATCCGCAAGTCGCTAATACAAATTACAATAGAC